ATTGCTTTTTCTGCCCCAAAGAAACTGGTGTTTGCCCATCCGCTCTATCTCTGTAGCAAATGAACAGCTCAGCCTTAGACTATGTAACTGTTTCCTCATCCTTAGCTGAAAATAAGGGGGCATACTGTATTGCAAGATTGATTGGGGGGGTGGGGGGTGGTCCCTTCAGGGTCCCGGAAGATGTTTTACGTGTTTCTCAAAAGCTGCTTTGTCTATATCCTGAGTTTTAGAGTGAAAGTACTAAATATTAATGAATTTGCACAACCACAAAGAATGAGAATTGATAACACGGGAGGAGTAATGCAAAAAAGAAATCACCACATGGTATTGATTATCCCAAGTATTACAAATAAATGTCTCTTTCTTCCTCTCTCCCTTCCCCACCTTCCTCTTGCCTACGTGCTCATCCTTGTTGCTTGAGCCTGCTACTCCCTCCCGAGTACTGTACTTACAGAGCCCGGACACCCTGGTCTTTCAGGATGGGGGAGCACGATTACGGGAAGGGAGTACGTAAAGAAAGAAACCTCCCATCCTGCATTCCCATGCCTGGACGTATTGCCTTTTCAGCAGCCTTGCTCGCAGTGTGCTTGGGGCTGGGAGCAGCAAGTTTCCAAGGGCAGCATAAAACATTCCTGAACTCCTTGACTCTTCTAAGCATTTCTACGTTAAACTTAAAGCCTTGAGAGATTTCCCACCGCCTAGTATAAGAATGAGGATTGAATTCTTTGACGTTTGGATTTCTCATTTACTCATCGTGAAAATCCCTAACGATACAGTTTTATACGATGTGTATACAGAGTAGGGTTGTTAATAATTCACTCGAGAGGTTGAGCACCCTGGTGGGGCACTAGCAACCTGGAATGTAGAGGGCTGTCATCTTCCCCTTGTAGAAGCCATGGGCTTTCTTTGTATAAGGAGAGGGAGAAGTGGTTCTAGAAGGAGGAGTTGGCATATCTAGCTTCATTACCGCCCCTTGGGCTGACCGGCAAGAAGATTCTACGTTATGGACCTGACGAGCCACTGCCCGAACAGCCACCATCTTTACTCTTTACAAAATGGACCCGTCAAGAATATTGAAAAGCTTGGAAGAATCACTTTTGAAAAAATTCTTTTGCATTCAGCATGGACTCGACCAGGATCTATGGAGATTATTTTTTTGCTTCATTTTCTAAAATTGTATTTAGAAAAGTCTTAAGTATTGTGCTTTGTAAAGAAGATGATTAAAATCAAATTTTGTGAAAATATTTTTGTTCAAAGTTGTCATGGTCCAAGAGGAATGATTTCTTGGAATTCAAACCATTTTTCTCCATTTTACACAACTTGATTACTCTTATAGAAATGTCTTTGGAAGACATGGAATATAGTACCCCTCACCCCACTTATCCTTCCCAAGTGAACAGAAACAACCCATTAAAATCCGTGGCTGTGAATTCCATTTTTACATCATTCAATTTTACATTCATATTTCGGCAGATAATTCTAGTTAGTTCTACGTTGTTTTTTAGTGTAAAAATCATTAAATTATCATTATTCGAATAATTGTGTAAAGCCACTTTTATTCATCCATAGCCCTCTAGACAGCATACTCAAGTACATGATTTGTTTTCTCCCATAAAGACAGCCTGTATCTATCATCACGTGTGTGCCTTTCGTTACTAATGGCGGAGTTTTATTTCCTTTCATAACCAGCTCCTTGATGGGAAAACCACGGGGTGTGTAATTTATTGCTCACAGTTGCCACAGTCTGTATTAAAAATAATCCCCAGGTCCCACAAAGGCTTTTGTATCCTAACCTGAGGTCACCAGGGTCTCTTCTCTGTATTAGATTAGGTTTTAGTTCTCTAGCTATTTTCATACAAATTAATGTCAAGATGTTTTAGCACCAAGAGGGCTTGGTGAAAAGCTTTTCTTTTTGGTTTAATACAAATGAGAAGTGTAACAAAGCCACACGTGCGTGGGTGCTAGGTGTTCAGCATGGCTGATTGCAGCGTCCAACAGAGGGAAGGCTTGGTGCTTACGACCCAAGCCTGGGGAAGAAGATGCCATTCCCAGAAGTAGGTCTAATGAGGGAACACAATGGCCAAGGCAGAGAAACTCTTTCCTGGTCAGAAATAAATGTTTGTCAGTAGTGTAAGGACAGAGAGGGGGGGTCATGTCTCTTAAGGTGATAAGCAGGAACTGTCATTCCTAGTTCTGTCCCTAGAGTCACTGAGGCTTGATTCCCAACATGTGGAGCAGAAGGCAGCCCCTGAAGCCAACGAGAATCCGTGACGTAGTTGCAGGTCCCAGAGAGGTGGTTTTATTTCCTGTGTTTTTAATCGATCCCAAATTGGAGTGGCTTGGGGGTGGGGGGGCAGCCTTTCCTATAAATGACATTGTGTGGTCTTTATGTTTGTGAATTCAGAGTTGACGGTAAAATAGACTGTTCCTTTTTTCTTGTTAGAGCAATAGGTGATAAAATATTTCATTTTTTTTTAAAAAAGATTTTATTTATTTGAGAGAGAGCGTGAGCTCGAGTTGGGGGGGGGACCGAGGCAGAGGGAGAAGCAGACTCCCCGCTGAACAGGGAGCCTGACACTGGGCTCCACCCCAGGATCCTGGGATCATGATCTGAGCTGAAGGCAGATGCTTAACTGACTGAGCCACCCAGGCGTCCCTCCGTGATAAAATATTTCAACCAAACAATAGAACAGGGTCACCTAGTAGGCTGTAGCTAGAATTTTCTGAGGAAAAAAATAGAAAAAGAAAAAAATGAAAAAACAAGAGAGTTGAATTCCTGGGAATACCAGATTCATGGGGCGGTGCTCTTTAAATGGCAACAAGTTTAATTAAATTAGGCAGATACAGCACTGTCATTTAAGTCTAGAATGCTTCCCTTCCCTCTCACCCCTATAGAATGTTACTAGTTCTCCAGGAAACTAAAATTTGTTGTCAAGCTTTGAGCTCTTTGATGGGAGAGTGCCCTGGAAATGCAAAACTTCATTATAGTTTCTATTAACTAAAAAAAAAAAAATTTGGAGTGGTTTACAAACCACATTTAAAAATAAGCAAGCCAAAAAGGCCATCCTGAAACCAAACAGAAAGCCCAGGAAAAAATCAATAACATTTCCATGTTATTCCCCAGAAGTAAAACAGATGTCTTAAGTTTCTCTTCAAGCTTCGTGACTCTTTCTTAGTCTGAATCTCAATATGAATGAGCTGAGAATTTGGCTGGGGCAAGTTGAACATGTGTCAAGTCCTTACGATGTGCTGGACTGCAGGATAGGTGCTGAATGCAACGTAGCCCCTGTCCTCATGGAGCTCAAATTGGGGGATGTAGGCAGATAAGCAGGCAAGTCTTCCACAGTATGAGAACATGACCACAGAGAGAAGTCCAGGGACTTTGGAACTACAAAGGAGAGGTGCCCAATGTAGCCTGGAGAGTGGGGAGGACAGAGGAAGAAGGGTATTTTTGGTTAAATCCAACTTTTTAATTTTATGTTTTTATAAATTTATGTATTTATTTTAGAAAGAGAGAGCACAAGCAGACTCCATGCTGAGCATGGAACCCGATGCGGGGCTCGATCTTATGACCCTGAGATCATGACCTGAGCCGAAACCAAGAGTCGGAGGCTTAACCAACTGCACCATCCAGGCGCTCCTAAATCCAATTTTTTTTTTTTATGTTATAAAGCTGTGATGAACATCTTTGGGCATAAACCTATGTCTATATTTCTGATTTATCCTTAAGATAATTTCTAGAAGTGGAGTGTGAATATGAGTTGCTTAAGATTTTAGCAAGAATAATTTTTGCACAAACAACAAAATAAAAAATAAACAAGTGGGACTATATCAAACTAAAAAGTTTCTGCACAGCAAAAGAAACCATCAGCAGAGTGAAATGACAACCTATGGAATAGGAAAACAGTATTTGCAAACCATACATCTGATAAGGGGTTGATATCAAAAACATAAAGAATTCATGCAACTCAATAGCAAAAAAAACAAATAACCCAACTTGAAAAAAGGCAAAGATCTGAACGGACATTTCTCCAAAGACAATATACAAAAGACCAACAGGTGCATGAAAAGGTGCTCAACGTCAGTAGTTATTAGGGAAATACAAATCAGAACCACAATGAGGTATCACCTCACACCTGTTAGAATGACCATCTTCAAAAAGACAAGAGATAAATGTTGGTGAGACTGTGGAGAAAGGGAACCCTTGTACACTGTTGGTGGAATTGTAAATTGGTACAGTCACTATGGAAAACAGTACGGAAGATCCTCAAAAACAGAACTACCATATGATGCAGCAATTTCACTCCTGGGAATATATCCAAAGGTAATGAAAACACCAACTCAAAAAGATATCTGTACCCCCATGTTCATAACATTATTATTTATAATAGCCAAGTCATGGAAACAACCTAAGTGTCCATTGATGGATGAATGGATAAAAATGTTGTGGTGTATATATACACAATGAAATATTCTTCAGTCATAAAAATGAGGAATTCCTAACATTTGTAATAACATGGATGTACCTCGAAGGCATTACGCTACATGAAAGAAGTCAGATAGATAAAGGCAAATACTGTATGATCTCACTTATATTTGGAATCCAAAAACCAAACCAAACTCATAGAAAAAGAGATCAGATTTGTGGTTACTAGAGGTGGAGAGGGGGATTTGGAGGAAGGTGGTCAAAAGGTAAAAACTTCCAATTATAAGATAAATAAGGAGTAGGGAGGAATAACTAACTCTGCTGTACGATATATAGGAAAGTTTTTAAGAGAG